CTCCACTGAAGTCTATTCACCCAAAACTCGGACACTTCATAAGCTTCATAAAGACATTGTTCAATAAAAACATTTGAAGTGTTTAATCTAAATTCTCAGAAAGAAAAGAACTTACGTAGTGATGAAGATTTAACATACATTAAAAAATTACTCTTGCTGCTTGTTTAAACTACTTATTTTAAATGAGCTGAAACAACACAATTCTTGACTATTTTTGGGTTAAACTTTCCATGTGTTCTATACTGTGTTTCTGGTAAATCATAATGCTCAACACTGCAGATCCTGTGATGATTGCAGATTTACACATTGCCATATTCATGCTGAACCCATATAATATATTGTGCAGCCCTATGTGGCCATGGGCCAGTAGAAGATTCTGACAGTATGATAACCTTGGATCAAAATATCACAGTTTAATAGTATCATGGTGTTGTGATTACTGCTCTAAAAGATCTCCTTTTTTAAATGGGTAATAAACAACAAATCCCTCCACATTGAACACAATATATATGATTTGGAGAAACATTTATAATATTTTGGCGCAGTAAACTTGTCCGGCTAAATAATTCAAATAAATCTCTGACTTCTGCTGTCTTCAGTTTTGAAAGCACAGATTTGTGTACAACTTGAAAAGGCATCTCTGGAGACCTGTCTATGATCCAGATAGTTGTCCTAAGCTCTACACCAGGGGTCACCAATCCTGGTCCTGGAGGGCCGGTGTCCCTGCAGGGTTTATCTCCAACTGGCCTCAACACACCTGCCTGGATGTTTCAAGTATACCATGTAAGACCTTGATCAGCTTGTTCAGGTGTGTTTGATTAGGGTTGGAGCAAAAATCTGCAGGACATCGGCCCTTCAGGAACAAGTTTGGTGACCACTGCTCTACACTGATGCTGTTGTGTGTGTGTTCTGTGTTGGTCAGCTCCACACACACCTCTCCTGATGAGTGTGTGTCCGGTGCAGCAGTCAGAGACTCTCAGATGGCCAGATCCTGCCAGCGGAGCCCCAGGAAAGCAGGGCGGCGTCCTCTCAGTAGGGGGCAGCGTGTGGTTCTGCGCAGGCCCCGGCCTATGAAGAGAGGGAAGAAGGCCAGAGCCAAGTGGTGGACACGTGTGAAGAATGTACAAGCACTGCTGGACCACAGAAAAAGAATGCAAAGCATCAGCACACACACTGACGTCTGCATGCAGCCCGACCTGGAGGATGTGGAGGGGGTGCTGTTTGTGTCCTTCACTGCAAAGGTAACACTCATTATAGTCTGAGCAGAGCTGCACCATACAGTGCACAGCAATCACTATAAATATAATAGTGTATGCAATATATGTTGACCAATCAGATGGGGCTTTACCATTTTTAGCCCTGCCTTCTCAGTAGTTGCTGTTCTGCTATTGGCTGAAGTGAAGTAAGTGTAAAAGCTGAACGCTTCACTAGTGAGAACACAGTTAAACAGAGCATCTGCAGCGCAAGGATAAAGAACGAGCCTCCTCCATTCAGCCTCTTTACTTTACTCTTTACTCCTTTACTTTGGTGGAATGAGGAAATGGTGGAAACTCCCTCTACTGAGCACATCTATTACCCCACATATTTAATTTCCTTTGTTAAAAGCAAAGATTTGCTTCAAAACTATTTCTAAAAAAAACAACTATTTCTTGTGTGCGTCATAGCCACAATTAAATAACATTTAATTAAAAATATATATATTTTATTTAAAGTCCTGTTAAAAATGTTGTTAATAAAACTACGACAGGATTCAGAGAACAATTATTAAGGCCAAATTAAGCCTGAGAATCAGCTCAGAGTGGATGAACAGGACCCAGCCGCACACACGGGTTAATATTGACCCAGTGTGTGGTGAATGAGCTGTCTGAATGTCTGGAGATTATCAAAGTCTCTCTGTTCATCAGGAGGCTCTGGATGTCCATGTGGGGAACATGAGGAGTTCTGTTGGATCTTCATCACCTCCACCACCATCACCATCAATATCTCCATCCTCACACACACAGCAGCTCTCAGCGTGTGTTACAGGTGTGTGTTCAGCTGCTGCAGCAGTGTTCCCTGTGCTGCTCGTGATCTGCTCTTCTCATGATATGTGTGTGCGTGTGTGTGTCCGTGCGTGTGCGTGTCTGCGTGTCCGCATCCTTGTGTGTGTGTGTGCGCAGATCCTCCAGTTACTGAAGCTGACAGAATCTCTGAGCTGGAGCTCGCTTTACTGCAGGATCTGAAGGAGAAGAAGAACAGACAGATCCTCCATCCAGCGCTGCAGAAAGGTACACACATTGACAGACACATGCGCACACACACAGATATACAGACAACCAGGCAGACACTCACAAACACTCACTCGCATACACACAAAACAAAAACACACAGACAGACGCACACACATTCACAAACACTCACTCATTGACGTGTGCACACACTCACACACACACACACACACACACACACACACACACACACACACACACACACACACACAACAATAAAACACAAACAGATACACATTCACATACAGACAGACACACAAACACAGACACATACACACATACACACACACACACACACACACACACACACACACACAAAGACATACAACAATAAAACACAGATACACATTCACATACAGACAGACACACACACACACACACACACACACACACACACAAAGACATACAACAATAAAACACAGATACACATTCACATACAGACAGACACACACACACACACACACACACACACACACACACACACACACACACACAAAGACATACAACAATAAAACACAGATACACATTCACATACAGACAGACACAGACGCACACACACACACACACACACACACACACACACATACATACAACAATAAAACACAGATACACATTCACATACAGACACACACACACACACACACACACACACACACAAATACATACAACAATAAAACACAGATACACATTCACATACAGACAGACACACACACACACACACACACACACAAATACATACAACAATAAAACACAGATACACATTCACACACACACACACACACACAAAGACATACAACAATAAAACAGATACACATTCACATACAGACAGACACACAGACACACACACACTACAAAAACACATACAGACAGACAAACAGACAGACACACAAACACACTCACGCGCACACAACAATAACACATACAGACAGACACACACACTCACAAACAACAATAAAAGCACAAACGGACACACTCACAAAAAACACACAGACTGACACACACACACACACACACACACACAAACAAACATGATCATCGTATCTCCTGTAATCTGACTGATCATTCGGGTATTAGTCAGTAAATATGAAGATGTGCTGCTGCTGCTGGTGTGTGTGTGTGTGTGTGCGCGTGCGTGCGTGTGCGCAGCACTAATCTGAAGTGTGTTTGTCTGTGTGCACAGTTGGAGTGAAGCTGAATCTGCTGGACCACACTGCGCCTGTAGACCTGCATTATCTGGGTGTAGATTTACCAGCTGCTGTCACACACACACCGCAGGAACACACACCCTCCTCCTGTACGTACACAACAACTGACACAACACACAACAACTGACACATTGCAGGGTTTAGGGTAGGGGTGAGCGTTAATAAAACACACTTTACTGGGTAATGTGATGAATAATGTCGCTGGAATGACTGTGTTTACAGTACTGTGAGGGTTGGGTTAGGGGTGGATGTTCATAAAATACAGTTAATGGATAAATCATATGAATAATTCTCATTAACGTGCCGCTGGAGCTGTGTTTTTTCAAGCAACAACCAGAAACACACAGATTTCCTGCTTAAGTGTACATCATGAATGAAAATAACTCTAGAATATGGCACATCCTACATCCCGCTGTACTGTAACAGTGCATTTCATCAGTTCAGCTCAAACTCTGCTAAAGTCGTGTTGTACATGATGTAAATCACAGAAGGAGAGTTTGATATTTATTGTTTTCAGAGAACATTAACCTGCAGCTAAAGCAACAGTTCACCCCAAAACCTAAATGTGCTCACTATATTTACTCTTCCAGGGTTTCAACGGGGTCTTAAAAAGTCTTAAAATGTTTTAAATTTACTTAAATATTGTGTTGTAGGTCTTCATTTTTTTTAAACAGGTCTTAATTTTCCTTTGCTGATGTATTGCTACACAATCTGGCCAAAACCCACCACCAACAATCCATCTTAATCAAACTTTATTTTAAAAAGGTGATTTTTACCTCTATTTATTTATATTTATTTACCATAATTATTTAATTATTTTCCCTACAATAACATTTGTTTAAAAGTTCTTAATGTTTTTACGACTGAGGACACCAACCTGGACAGATCGTTGTGCATAGATTTAGTTTATTATAGTTTTAAAAACTTTTAAAACATATTTTAGTTTTAAAGATAGTTTATGTTGGGAAAAAAGTGTATACCCTGCAGGCACAGCACATCAACATGAGGTCATGATGACGTTATGTCCCAACATACCCCAACAGCATGGGGACATTGGATTTTGTTTGGAAATGAAAATTGTCGTCAATGTCCAACGTCAAACCTAAAATCCACAAAATATCAATGTCTAATCATGTTACACCCTGACGTTGTGGGACATTACCACTATGACATCTATCAGACGTTGGATTTTGGTCACTTTTCAACACAATCTAAAATCAACCAAATATCAACGTAATTTGACATCGTTATTGGACGTCAAAATATTGTTGTCCTTTGACGCTGGCTAGACATTGAATTGTGGTCACCTGACGTCATGACCTAAATCTAACCTAATACTAACGTCTTAAGATGTTGTGTGCCTGTTTAGTGGATAAAAAGTAGAGTTTGTATGTGTTTTTACAATATTTAAAATATTTTCTCAAGAAATATCTAAAATATATATATTTTTACTATTAATTTATAATTGTATTTTTAGATATATTCAATTATATTATAGACTTTTTGAAAGGGCAAATAAAGCTCTTTTTCATCTGGGCCATTTGAAAAATCCCTCGGTGTTTAGCCCTTTATGAGTCTAAAATTTAATTCATAATGATCTTAAAAATGTCTTAAATTTAACTTGGTGAAACCTGCAGAAACCCTGTCTTCCTTCTTTTGCCTGTTTAGAAAATGGCACACTTGTCACTTCAGGTCAGCATAACAACATTGACTATTAAAACTATTTGCCTTAGTAATGTTGGTAAATTAAAATAAAGTGGTCAAATAACGAATCCTAGTATTTCTGAATATATTGTTAAAAATATTCAATAATTATCATGCTGATCATGTCGTATCAGTCTCAGTTATCTGTGAAGAGCGCCAGCGTGTAAGAGCCAATCGCAGCCCTTTCTGTTGAGCATGTGACCAATCAAAGGGGTGTAAGAGAACTTACAAGGCTCAGAAAGCGAGCGGGATTTTTATATTTGTTTATTTGCTCTAAATGCTTGAGTTGTTTAAAGGTACAGTTTATAAATCTGACTGTTTGTATTAAAGGACAAAATTGATTTACAGATAGTAAATAAATATATTTATACATTTTAATACAAGAATTGCTGCTGTGAGGAAAATATAACACTGTGTATGGAAAGCATCGTCAATGCACCGTGATGCACTGAGATATCGAATTGACCTGAATTGATGGCATGATAATCGTAACCGAACCGTGAGACCAGTGTAGGTTCACACCTCAAGTGTAAAAGTAAGTCAGGCTTGTTTGGAACAAGTAAAGAACAGAATGTTCAGTTTTGTGTGCACTATCCTTTTAATAATGACCTTATATGTTAAAACGCTGTTCTTCACTTCGCTATTCTTTACCCGTCAGCGGAGAGTGGTTTCGTGTCCCGCACCGGGAAGACCAACGACCTGACCCGAATCAAAGGCTGGATGGAGAAGTTCAGCTTGAGGAGCACGTCCGGCACAGCCAACAGTAAGAACACTAGCGCTGATAATGAACGATATTTGCATGATCCATACGTTCGGCAACAACAACACACTTTTTATATTTGGCGTTTTGCTTATTATGACTATTTAAAACTGTAGATCAGGGTATTATTTATGTATTAGGGTATACTGAGAAAAAATCCAAAGACATATACAGAGTTTAAGGATCATTATTTTTGACAAAATGAGTGTGTTTTTGCACAGTGAAACTTCTCTGAATATCCAAATTATAAATATACAGAAAGCAGAGCGAGTGTTGCGCTCCTGTTATATTCACATCATGAAATTAGATCATAAACATGCTCACAATAAGATATCAAGCAGCTGAATTTGTTGAAATATCAAAATATGTAGTTAATAAACAGCAAATATTTGTCTTTGAAACCATGGTAGAGATGTTTAAACTGGTCTAAACTTTCACTGCCCAGTGCACAGATCAACAATATAACAATACTGGCCACAATAGCCATGTTTCCAGCCACTTATTTTATGCTCAGTTTGGAGATGCGCATAAAACATTGGTTGATGGAAACGCCAAGATGCACATGCATTTTAAAAATGAAAAGCACATGTACATAACTGAGTAGGATAAACTATTTATTCCAGAAGAAAACATGCGCTTAAACTTCAGTGGAAACACTTTTACTGAACAAATTTCAGCATGCGCATTAAAAAGGTCATGTGATTTTGATATGAGATCATGTGATGATAATAATGTGTGTGAATGAACACACCAGCAGGCTGAGCACACTAGAACATCTCAAATGCTGTTTTGGCCATTCTAAAATGCTGCAGAAGTGTCAGAGGCATCTGTGCTCCACGTTCACTGTGAGTCATTTATTAGATGAAGAAAGGATTGACGCAGCTTCTCCTACCGCAGTAAATTCTGTTTTTACTGTTGATATGTGGTGCCAGTTAATCAGGAAGTGATGATTTTGTTCTGTCTGGCTCGCTGGATGGAAACGCTGCTTTATTTGCTCGTCTTTTATTCGATATTCCGGTTTTCTCATCAAGTTAATCTGCATTTTTAGATGGAAACACAGCTACTGATTGATTGCGATATTCTACTCCTGCTGCTGCTGTTTTGATTACAGAACTGTGGCGTCTCATATTAGCACCAAGCTGCAGTTCATCGACCGCCCACTGGGGGCTGGCTCCAGAACACAGCACATTTCTGTTCACTCCAGCAGAAAAATCCACTTTTTCTCTTATAAATAAGATCATTCTGCTTCCCCTTTTGGCAGATTATTTTGCTTGTTTCAGGAAACAGAACTTTTGACTCATTATTTCTGAAAACAGCACAATATTTTAGCTCGATTTGAGATGTTTGTATATCTCTGGACTAGAAACAAGACAGAAACTCTGATGCTGCGTTCACACCAGACGCGGAACGCGCAAGTGATTTACATTTTAAGTCAATGCAAACATGCAAATAGACATCCTGCAGCGCGATACGCACGAATGGCGTGACTTGAATTGAGCATTTCGCGCGAATCACTCGAGTTCAAAAATCTGAACTTTAGCGGACATTCGCGCCGCGTTAACCAATCAGGAGCTTGGTCTTGTGGTGGCGTGATTGTGATGTGTCGCCTGTTGTCGGTGTCCCAGGGGAAATCCTCCAGCCGACACCGACAAGAAGTTCATCAAACTGGGCTCGGCTCAGTCAGAAGCACCGCTGAAAGCCTACGTCATCCAGGTTCAGTTTCTGGATGAGTTTATGAGCTCACAGAGCTACTGCACCTCTGAAATAATCTAGTGTACTCAGACATGGCCCTAAACTTTTGACATTTGACGCTGTTTTTCAGCCTTCATAAAGCACATAAACACTGTTATTTTCTTCATAAAATCCATGTTAGCCATTTAGCTATGAAGCTAGAGTCACCGGGCAGACAGAAGCCCTGCCCAGCACGCGAATCCACGTCTGTTCTGAAGTGAATCTGACGGGCCGCGTGAATGAAGCGAGTAAACTCAAATGTTCACGCGGCTATTTATGCGCGAATAACGCGATTTATCCACGCGTTCCGCATCTGGTGTGAACGCAGCATGAGTGAGAGCAGCAGTGTAAAGAAGATGAGCAGTGGTCCTGCAGCTGTAGTGCTTCAGTTTCTCTGAT